CTTCAAAGCAACTAAATATGACAACTGTGATCAAATCCTTGATGTGAATCATTTTATGTTACATATCTCATTGAGACTTTGTAATACTTCATGTTTTAAAGGATTCACCAACAGCTGTGACTCTTGGACTGAGGATGGAAGAAATGATTTTCAACCTCGCCGATGCACACTTATTTTTTAATGATTTGGAGGTAAGCCAGAATGTTTGGTGTACTTGTTGCTAAATTTGGTCTGGGAGTGCTTGTTCAAACAGCTGTTGCTTTCTCATTTGATGAACTGAGATATAAAACTAGTGTGTTTACCAAACAAAACTAAGAGAATGCATTTGTAGTATTGTTTCAAATTTGATCAATGTTCTCGAAATCCTATAGTGTATGCAATAAAGATGGCTTTAGCAGTGGAGGTATGATTTTGGTGACCGTACTGTAAATTGTATTCAGATGATACTTAAATGCAAGAGGCTACAGAGTGCTAAATAAATAAAGCTAGAGCTAATTTACCCTTCCTGCAGTAAAAGGAATAGGGAGTTCTTAATAGTAAACTGCACAGTGCAAACATAAGCACTGAAGTCCACTTTGTGGCACTATAAAAAGTGCCTGAGGCAGAGTTAGTAAATGAGGATTGCATACTATATTGTGTTCACCTCTTGCAGAGGATTACTCAGAGGAGAGTTATCAGAGGCAGAGCCACACTAATGGTTGTGCCACGGCTCTGGATCTGGAAAGTGCTCTGCAGCTATAATAAATAAGATGGGACAAAGTCCAGGAAAGTGCCACAAGCATAGCACAGTGCCCTAAGGTCACAGTGCAGGAATGCTGCCCATCTTTGGTCTGGTAGGGTCCTGGTACAGCCTCCAAGGTCAAGCCAAAGATTAGCTGATCTGGATAGCTGCCTAAAGAGCCCCCGCTCAGCAGCAATTGATGTAGTCTTGATTAAAGCAAAAATATACACAGGAATATAATTTCATAAGTAATTTTGGTCTTCAGTACTTCAAGAAATAATTTATTTTCCTTTTCTCTGGTACTACATGTTGTAAGTCGCAGTTGTTACTATATTGTTAATTACCAAAGTGTGGCCCTCAAAAGATACAAGGTGGCTCTCTTAAAGATGTATTGCACTCAGCTTGGCCCACTTTATTTTTTTGAGTTTGACATTCCTGACCTAAATTATACCAACCTGACACAGCAGGTATATGTGCTGATATTCCTATGGAAGGCCAACAAATCTGTCCCACTTTCTACTTGGCAAGCTGATGCTATACCCTTCAGTATCAGAAAGGTGATTCTAAAAAGGGACTCTACAAATCAGGCCCCTACCAAAGCACTGACCCTTTTGTTACTGATGCCCCCAGTAAGCCAGGTAGACCAGGAGTCCTTTGAATACCTCACCCATCCAGTCAATGCAAAATATAGAAAAACAATCCCAATTACTTTAAACTATAGTTTGCACTCCATATATAAGTGTTGGCATTCTTGCCCTGGAATGGCCTGGAATCTTAATAAAAAACTATTGTAGAAACTAGAATTCCAGCACAAATGGGAAAATGAATAGGCACTTTATGTAGCTCATATATTTAAATAGAAACATGGTATATTAGGCTAATGTGTTTTTTTTTGTTTGTTTTTTTTTGGGGGGGGCACTTTTTATATTAAAAAATGAAAAACACATATTTGTTTAAATAAATCTGAAACTTTATTTTGTAGTGTGCAACAGTTGGTAAAGTAACTTTCATCAGGGAATATATATTTTACGTTTGCATGACATCCATTTGCGTGTACCCTTTGAAATAAAGTAATCACAATAACATATTTTCCATGCAGCATATGTGCAGTATATAATAGTATGGTATTTGTGTGCTTGTCATAACCCCATCTTATAATAAAACAAACATAGCATGGATTACCTATGCTTCAATGGAATCTAAGACTAATGAAAGATTATTGCAATTATGTTCTGTCCTTGAGATTGCATTTTCTCTTTTGCAAGCATGATATATGAAGAAGTAGTATACGTCCTCATCCTAAATGCTATACGTATTAGCTGCAGCCCTGGGAAGTGTCAAGCTGCACTCAGCATGGAGCGTCCAGTATAGATACTCTGGCCTTAATGCGTCTCCGGACACAAATGTCAGTGCTTGCTAGTGCTTGTTTCCAACTGGTACATTAATCTGGGGCAAGCACCAATAATTGCCGACAAATGGAGCAGGTGCAGATGGAGTTCTAAACAGTATGGTAGACATACTTTATGAATTCTTCCCATATTGCTAAATAACTTTGAACACATATTAACTTTAAATTTAATTTTATGTTCAACCTTGAACACAAGTTACATGTAATTGTATGTGTCATCTCCGAGTTGAAAGAAAATAAATGTTTTGTACTCTTGCTACTTATTTACCAAATGGTGAATCATGGAATAATGTAAATAAGTTAATATTGTATACGTGTGATCTATTTAATAATATATTCTTATTGCTATGGAGCTTGGATGAGATTGTAAATGTGTATAATGTTGCCATCTTCTGGCTAGAGGCACATACTACACCTAAAGAACAAATAAAGAGTTCACTTTCCAGATGTTGTTACTTGTTACATTAGCACATTTGTAATTTGCAAATCTAAATACAATACATTTTAAGATATATTTTATAAAACACCAAAATATTCCAGTCTAGCTGGTTTTAGGCATGTTCAGACATTAGCTATAACAATAAGGTGCTCATTATTATTATTATTATTATTATACAGGATTTACATAGCGCCTATAGTTTGCACAGCACTTTACAATATAAGGAAGACATTACAGTCACAATACAATTCAAGACAAGATGGTAAGGAGGGCCCTTACCATCTTGTCTTCACTTGAAATATATCTACATACTGTGTGACAATGGGCTGTAATTAATGAATGTACATCTTCTTTTTTAGGAATGTGATCAGGTCCATGTAGATGATGTGTCTTCTGATGACAATGGCCAAGACTTGAGGTATTGTGGATTTAAATCCCCTCTCCGGCCATAGACAAAAAAAAACATTAAATGCTGCACTCACATCCCATATCAAAAGTCATTTATTGTATTCTCTGTAGCTTGTAATTTATTGTTAAATACAGCATTGCCAGGCATGCAGAGAACGGACCTCTTGTTCAGGGGACCAGCCTTCCCTGCCAGCTCCCTGTAAAGAAGGTGACTGGTCAGGTCAACACCCTCCCTGCTAGAACTAGGAGGACAGCTTCATTGACAAAAGTAATGTAACTCCTGTCCCCATCCAGCTTTATCCACGTTGCTCCTCGCTCCTCCCTGCGGCTCTGTATCCTATAGCTCTGAGGAACAGTAAGAGAGCAGTGTGAGTGGCTAGTGCACACAGTAGCTAGGGCACAGCAGGGCAGAAGTAGGGTAGAGGAGGAAGCTGAAACATGTTTTGAGTCATGAGATTATTGTAGCCTCTTTCCTTCTTGCAACCTGCCAGGTGCCAGGATGCACAGAACACACACTGCAGCCATTTTCCCTCCTCCCACCTCTGTGCCCCACCCCCCGTGTACATTGTGTGTATCCGTATAGCTCTGCAATGTTCGCCTGCATTCAGTACAGGCATAACACAGAGAGGGTTGGTACATAGACTGCACAGAGGTAGGAAATGTCTGGGCATATAGGAGCTCTGTCAGCCATAGTAGGGGTCATTTTTAACAGATTCAGTTTGAAGTGGAGGGACACAGTTAGGGTTTCCACCTTTTCGGGGTGGCAACCCGAACACTCTAGCGATGCATGGAAATGTTTTTGGGAGAATGAGTCGTGGCATATTCATATGTGCATAGGGCCACCCATTCATATGTAGATATCACAGTCGAGACATTTTTTTTTGTGTGGTGGGGGGGCGGGGGGGGGCAGTAGCCCCTATCTTCATTTTGGTTGCCCCTGTCTGCCTGACATCATGTGTCCGGGTTTCAGCTGCCATGAAACCCGAACACAGCATTCAAAACCCGGACTGTTCGGGTGAATCCTGGACAGGTGGCAACCCTAGATACAGTGTAAGCTGATAAGCAGAGAAAATAGTACAATTAATGTTCTACCTGCAGTTATTTATTAGTTAGTGTATTGTTTTGTGCAACTAAACTGTGGGCCTATGTGTACCAGGGATGATAGGGGAGTTGTCTGCTCTCTTGTCTACGTCTACAGATCCACTCACAGCCCAAAGAGTCTGACTATAGACAAAGCCTATGGGTTCCGCTTTCCAGCTTTTGATGCAGCAAGATTTTTTAGTCCCTGTGATGACATCTCAGGGACTGAGAATGTAGAATATCTATGCTTTAATGGACAATATCTAGAATATCTATGCCCAGGGACAAGATAAAGGGGAGACAAAACAGTGATATATGCTCTAAAGGGGGAGAACAAAGTTTAGAATTAAAGATATTTGCTGCCCAGAGATGGGCTTTAAACTATAATGATGTACCAAGAAAAATGGTAAGTAAATTGGAAGGCAATCATTAGGTCACTAATACAAAAATAACAAAATGATTCTTGAATACATTTTAATAATAGTAACTGAATCCAAGCCTAGGGTTACTTGAGAACATACTTCTGATATCATGCCCACAATCTTGTATTGTGAGTGGATCTTTCTTTCAGAGCCAGATTTAAGGTGTATATTGCCATGGGACACTTCTACTGTGTTACCTGACCCCTGTACCAGGGATTTGAGGCTACCTTCCTCTCCTCTGTGGTTATGCTACGTTTGAGTCTTTAAGACCTTTACACAAAGCTGTGCTTACTTTTCCCAAACTCTGGTACATGTCCAACATGATCAGATCAATTCCCATTTACCTTTACACTCAGATGATGCACCAGTCATTAACCAGGCAAAAATGTTTACACTGCAATTTTCAGTTTAATAGATTTCTTGCTGGAAAAACTTCCTGCAATCAAATCACTTAATCAGTCATATCAATATGTTTTTCCTTATTTTAAAAATGTGGCATTAAAAATGTTTGATGTTTTTAACAAATGTGTTTGGGTTTTTTTGGTCCTAAAAATTTATTAGAGTTGTCATTCTTTTAGTTCCTACAGTTTTGCCACTGATGGTTTTCGGGCAGCAGCAAGCAGTACAACGCTGTGTTTACCGACTGGTGTCAGGGGCGGTGTGGACTGGATGAGAAAGTTGGCATTCCGCTACAGACGAGTAAAAGAACTGTACAATACTTACAAGAACAATGTAGGAGGTATTTTGTACAGTCTGTATTTCAGATATAAATGTTTCACTCCTCTCATTTTAAGACTAAGAGGCTTAGTCACAAAGCTGCCGAAGGCAGCCGTGTGAATAACCAACCCGAAGTGAAGTGAGCCGAACGCTGTTTCGGCTATTCACTTCAGGGTTGTACAGCTGATTTCAGCCGTATATGGGCTGAAATCAGCCGTACTGGCTTCGGGTCAGCCGAACATGCTCAGCATGTTCGGCCGACCCGAAGTGCAGAAGGAGTTCGACTCAGCCGATCCAACATCTAGATCGGCTAAGCCAAACCTCCGGCAGGCTATGCGCTGCTGTCCGGCCTATTCTCATAGGGGCCGAATGCTGCCGGTATTCTTCTCGGTACCTCCGTGGTCCCGAGCAGAATAGAAAAACAGTTTAAAAAAGTAGAAAACGATTCGGCGGAGCTAGCAGTGAGAGCTAGCTCTGCCCAACTGTTTTCTATTGGCCGGGACCAGCTGTCCTTACAATGAGAGCCTGGCGGAGCCGGCGGTGATATCAAAGCTGACTCCGCTAGCAGAGCCGGCTTTTATATCACGGGCCAACTCCGCTGAGCTCTCATGACAGTTCAGCGGAGCCGGCCGTGATATCAGAGCTCTCATTGTAATGACAGTTCAGCATCCCCTGGTTACCAAGTAACCAGGGGATGCTGAACTGTCATTACAATGAGAGCTCAGCAGAGCCGGCTTTTATATCACGGGCCAACTCCGCTGAGCTCTCATGACAGTTCAGCGGAGCCGGCCGTGATATCAGAGCTCTCATTGTAATGACAGTTCAGTGTCCCCTGGTTACCTGGTAACCAGGGGACGCTGCTCTGTCATTGCCAGTGGCCAGAGCCAGCCATGAGATGAAGGCTGGCCCCGCCCAGCTGTCAGTAGCAGGCTTTCGGCCGACCAATGGCCGGCCATTTGGCCCGCTTCGGCTTTCACCTCAGCTCAGTCTAAGCTAGCCGAAGGATCAGCCGTAGCTACAGCTGATCCTTCGACTAGCTTTGTGAATAACCCCCTAAATAGCTGCTGCATGTTATATTTATTATTTACAATAAATAATTTTCTAAACAATATAGGCTACCTCAGGAACTAATTCTAGATGATTAAACAGTTCATTGTTTTAATAAAACATCAGGATGCATTCCTTAATGAGCAGAATATAACTAGATATTAATCTTCTTAAGTAAAAACACCAGATGTTGTTGATCCAGGGATTATACAATTGCTTTAGGGGAACAGAAGGGATTTTTTCCCCTGTTGGAGCAAATTGAACCGTGCGTTTAAGGAGGTTTTTCTTTTTTTTTGTATAGGTTGAACTCGATGCACTTGTGTCTTTTTTCAACCTTATTAACTATGTAACTATGTAATATATATGTAAATAAAAATATAGGTACTACATATAAAGCACATTTATATATATTTACCATTTTCCCTTTTGTTCGAGACCAGAAATTGTAGATTAAAATGACAGCTTACACCTCTTGTATGCCCAGTTGCTTAGAGGCCAAGTTAGAACCCTTACAGGTGATATCTATAGATTACCGAGCATCCACATGTCATTGACTAAGAACAGTAAAATGTATGTGATTCCACAATGTCAGTCTGGCAAATATGACTTTTGTCAGTAGGGTTGGGTTGCTAAATTGATCTTATGTGGGCTACTTATTTATTCATACAGTAAAGATCACTGCAGTATGTACACATTCTGCATTAGGGCCCTAAAACACACCTGAATCAGCAGCTGTACAACTACTTTATATAATGGTATTGCTCCATCAGGCTGTGTGACATCACATATAAATGTATACTGGCACGATTTATATACCATGGCTGCTTTAGTGTCCCATGCATCCCTCAATCCAGAGCATATTCAGTTATACCCATTTCTTCTGCATAGGTCCAACCTTTCCATAACCAAGGACAACCCAACAAAAAGCTAGTACCATTATGTCAAACCTACAACTTTTTTTTCTAATTTTCTAATAGAATAGAGAAAGTTGAGATCTCCTTTTGAGCTGTACTGTTATTAGTTAGATTTCACCATTTTCTGCTGAAAATGGTTTCACCCGACCGGAGGTGTGGGAAAATCTGCAACAGGGACACAGACAGAAATAAACATCTGACAGGTGATCTAGCCATCCCCTACTATTTTTAAGTCGAGCATTTTTATTTTGTTGCTGTTGGAGAATTCCCCTCACTTTCTGTCTGGAACAGAGCAGGAAGTAAGGCCTTATCTCTCTAACGGAGCCCTGGATAGCAGTAAAAACTAACTGGGGTGCTTACCCTTCTCAATTCTAAAATTAAAACAAAAACGTTTTGGCCAGACATACACATAACGGTAGAGATAAATGCAGTTGCATGGTCTGGAAATAAAATGTAGCCCTGTCCTATAAAGCATCATCCCCAGCCCGCAATGTTTGTTCAAACATTGCTAAGCTCAATAAAGCAATAATGAATTTTAAATTTGAATTACAGGTACAGTCATAGGAGGTTAGTGAAGGATATATACTGACAGCAATCAGTTATATTATCTCGTTAAATCAGGTCACGCAGCAGAAAAACTCAGCTTATCCTGACCCTTTTTAAAAACAACAGCATTTGCTATTATATTATCATATGCTTTGTTATATTTATAATAATGGAAAGGCTACGGATGCAAATTTTGAACCAAAGCAGCTAACTTTCTACTGTTTGTTAAAGTGGCAATTTATACAGTACATATAATATGGCATTTATTTTCTGTACAATAAAGAAAATAAATCCTGCATCTAGTATAAGGGTCCCTGACTGTATAACCATGTGCTTTTTCATTATACACAAAGGTATCATTCATTTATGACCCATTCCATAAAATAAAACAGAAATTATCCCATAATAAGAGGCTGCATATCATATTTTTCTTCAAATTTGGGGAAAATTTAATGGAAGAAAACATTTCACATTTCCATGAAAGCAGCATTTAATCTATGATTTCCTGTCTGTTTGTGCTGAAGGACTTTTTGGCCCAGCTAAGAGAGAGGCCTGGCTTCAATTGCGGGCAGATCTTGAAGTTCTGACAGACTCCTGGCTCTCAAATGCACTTAAATCACTATCACTCATTAACACGAGGTAAGTCAAAATGTATGTTTAGATTTCATCACTAAATGCACAGTTACAATGTCACTTAAGACTTGTTTTTCTAATTCGCATTTTTGCCAAACTAATTTAAAACAGATACAAGTGTGGTTAGAGCATACAATAGTAGGCAGTGTTTTTATTCTAAAACTACACATAGTCTTTGTGACCATATGTGACTGTAAGGGTGTCCTAGTCATACCGTAACAGTAACTTCACACAGTATATTGGGTTACTTTAAATATACTATGAGGGTAGATTCAGCAGAAATGTTTAACATTGTGACTAAAATCAAGCTATATCAAGCTACAGTACAAATTATGAAGAAAAACAAAGTTAACTGATAAAACATGCTTTTTGTGTTATCTATACATTTTCTCTGAGTGTACACAAATTAGATAAAAATTCACTACCTGGCCAAAAAATAAATAAATCACTACCTGGATTTTAGGTAGTGTTGTGATCTGAGGTTGCTTCAGTTGGTCAGGTCTAGGTTCAGCAACATTAAATCCCCCCAAAAATGAGGTCAGCTGCCTACCTGAATATACTGAATAACCAGGTTTTTCCATCAATTGATTTTTTTCTTCCCTGATGGCACGGGCATATTCCAAGATGATAATGTCAAGCTCAGATTGTAAAAGAGTGGTTCAGGGAGCATGAGCCCTAATTTTCCCACATGGATTGGCCATTACAGAGTCCAGACCTTAACCCTATTGAGAATCTTTGGGATGTGCTCGAGAAGAGGTTACTCTGTGGTCCAACTCTCCCATCATCACTACAAGATCTTGGTAAAAAGTTAATTTAACTCGGAACAGAAATAAATGTGGCATTGCATAAGCTTATGGAAATGATACCATGGCAAATGCATGCCATAATCAAAGCTAAAGGTGGTCCAACGAAATATAAGAGCGTGTGACTTTTTTTGGCCAGGCAGTGTATAAGCAAAATATTCTAAATGTGTTATATTTAGTGACTAGTTATACATCTTATATTTTTAAATGGATGATCACTTATGCTACAATTTTTTTTTAAATCTCTTTGGAAAGAATGGGAAAGAGTTTAAATTAAGTCAGGTTTTAAATACTGGATAGAATAAGTCACCAGCATACCAAGGATCTTTCAAAGTCTATGTTTTTATTGAATTGATTGCATCACATTCCAAAGAGGCAAAGAGGTCCTGCACGACCCTGAAACATTGCACATTCGACACTGTGAAGTGATCTCTTCAATAAAATAAATAATAAAGAATCTCAGCACCCTTTACATTCATACACTTTCCAGAGAGTGATGTTTTTTAGTAACAATATTTCGAGATAGTCACGTTACCATAAAACATACCATGATGATACTGTACATTGAGGCGATACATGAGTTACAAATGTGTAAAAAATAATAAGAGGTTTTTAAATGCTGTCTTTTGTCCTTGTTGAGGAAATTTGTCATCAGTTTTTAAATTCTGGCTGTTTCTCTTTCTAATGCCCATCAGCCATTCCCTGGACAGGAAGTGAGAGGATTTTCCCCTTTAGATGGACACAGACAGCAATTAAAATCCTGACAGAGATTCTAAACCTTCCCTACTCTATTCAGAACTAAAACAAAGGTGGAGTTGGCTGGAGTTGGACTATATGTTATTCTAAGATTTGGCCTCTTGGTTATCCTAGATCAGTGGTTCTTAACCTGTGTAACCCACATTACATTACAATGGAACGCACGGCAGTGTGGGCTGCTGTGCTGTGATGGAGCTCCATCCATATGTGCATTGCTTGTACAGCTCCCATGCGCGCCTGTAGAGGTGCCAGGAGCCAGAATGTGATGTCACTCCAGTCCAGGCACCTCTATAGGACATGTGAGGAAGCTATAAGTACTGCAAGTATGGATGGATCTCCCTTGCGGCCATACCCCACCTCAAGTTGACACTCGGCACTGGGCAGCATATTTTGAATGGCTGCTTGGTGTAAGAATGGACAGTGCTGCTCTAGGCGGAGGCTGAGGAGCCTCTAACCTAGAAAAGTGGAAGGCATGCAGCCACCCACTAAACATGGTGTCGCGCCCCACTTTTGGGTCACGACCCACCAGTTGAGAACCAAGGTCCTAGATGACATAGTACACTGTGGATTAATATCTCCTAAGAGTGTCTATCATCTGATTTATATGCCCTTCTGATTCTCTGTTACACTAATAGGCAATTAGGCTCCCTTTAGTTTATAGAAATAGAGTGCATTTGAAGTCACCTTTCACATCACAGAGACACAACATAAACATTATATACAGTCACAACATTTGCTAGTTTCAGGTAACACTAAAAGTAGTATTAAAGTCTCCTTTTTTGCATATACCTACTGCTAGCAAAAAGTTACCAAAAAGATAAAAACTTACCTCTGTCTCCGCCACTTGCTCCCAGCTGTATATCTGAAGGTTCTTGAGTAGCCATGCAGGAAGATGAGAGCGGGCCCATGCTCAGTAGAGATCATCGGCGGGGGGAAGAGGAGAGACACACTGGAGGTGAATGCATGCAGCCATGAGCATGCACGCCTGACAGACACCGTGGGACACTAGGAGTCTGCACTGGATCAGAGACCGGCACCAGTGCTGGAGGGATTGCTGAATATAAGTGTAAGGAAGAAGATGATCGGATCAAGAGGTATAATTTAAGGTAAGTCCTTAAAGCAGCATTAGGGGGGATTTGTAACTTTAGTGTCACTTTAAACTTGACAATAACGTACATCCTTTAAATCCTTGGTTCTCAACTGATGGGTCGTGACCCAAAAGTGGGTCGCCGCATGCCTTCCATTTTTCTAGGTGAGAGGCTCCTCTGCCTCCCCCTAATGCAGCACTGTCAGTTCTTGCACCAAGCAGCCATTCAAAATATGCTACGCAGAGTGTCAGCTTGAGGAGGGATAGGGTGGAGCTATGGCCGCGAGGGAGCTCCATCCATACGAGCATTGCTTACAGCTCCCTCACATGTTCTATAGATGTGACATGGTGACACCTCTACAAGGCGCGCAAGGGAGCTGTAGAAGCAAAGCACATATGGATGGAGCTCCGTCACAGCACAGCAGCCGACACTGGACCCCAGACTGAGGATCCACTCCAGTTTTTGTAAGGAGGGGAGACTGGTTGGACCTTAAAAAAAAAAAAAAACTTTTTTTGGAGTGTGTATGTGTTTTAGAATGTTTGTGAGTGTGTCAGATTGTGTCAGTGTTTTTGAGGGCCCGTTCACACTAGTACAGTTTTTATTAAATCACATAGTACCGTGCAATTAACGGTATGTGGGAGGTGCAATTATCTATGGCGTGGGAGGTGTGCTGCGATACTATCATTTGTATGGTACCCCAAACGCACCTCCCACCCACAGTTCGTACGTCCGCACCGGAAAGCATGCTAACTGTGTGTTCCATTGCAGTGAGACCTGTGTCGCGACTTTATGACCAAGGACAAATGTGGGTCCTGAGGTTACACAGGTTGATAAACACTGCTTTACATAGTACATAGTATTTGAGGTTGAATAAAGACATTAG